ATCAAATAGAAGTATACAATGTTGACAGGAGGCAGTACATTTATAATTTATAACCCCAAATGTATTTATAAATTAGAAATGGAAAGATCTACAAATGAAATCATAAAGGTTCACCAAAGTCATTTAATCTGTCATACCTTTAATCCTAGCATTCCAGAGGCAGAAATCCCTTTGGATCTCTGTGAGTTCGAGGCCACATTGGATACAGCCAAGCATGGTGACTTATGCCTTTAATCCCATAAAGTGAGCCTTTAATCCCAGGGAGTGATGGCAGAAAGCAGAAAGTTATATAAGGCGTGAGGACTAGGAACTAGAAGCTTTTGGCCTGGTTAACCTTTTAGGCTTTTGAGCAACAGTTCAGCTGAGAGCCATTCAAATGAGGACACAGATCACCTGAGGAATTGGCGAGGTGAGGAAGCTGTGGCTTGTTCTGTTTCTCTGATCATTCAGCGTTCACCCCAATACCTGGCTCAGGTTTGATTTTATTAATAAGACTCTTTAAGATTCATGCTACAAGAGACAGAGACAGACAGAGAGGGAGGAAGAGGGAGAGGAAGAGAGAAAGAGAGAGAGAGAGAGAGAGAGAGAGAGATATTTTTAGAAGGAAATTTCTGATGACATTACCTAAATATTCAAAGACATCAATTCTTGTAAACTAGCCAAGCCTGACAATGCTTAGCATCCAAGATCAGATGATATAGGACACATCTAGGTCAGTATTTTAATGTGAGAAATGATGCCTTACCTATGGTGATATTTTATTTTATTTGTACTGAAATGTGATTTTATTTGTATGTTAATAAATAAAGTTGCCTGGGGGTCAGAGCTAATAATAATCCATAGCAGAAACTGGGCAGTGGTGGTGCACGCCTTTAATCCCAGCTCTTGGGAGGCAGAGCTAGGCAGATCTCTGTGTGTTCATTGGAGACACATGCCTTTAATCTCAATACCAACCATAGAAGACCTGGAGGTCTGTACAGACGGGCAGTGATGAGGAGGTCATGTGGTTGGGTTTACAACCAATGAGAAGGCAGAACAGAAAGTCTATAAAAAAGACAAACAGACAGGAAGTAGCTCTCTTGCTGAGGACAGAAGCGGCAGTGAAGGATAAGGTTTTTAGGTCTTAGCTATTGCTCTGATCTCTTGGGCTTTCATCTCTGCATTGACTCTGTGTTTCTTATTTAATAAGATGGTTACACATACACTTACCCGTGGATAAGACCTCCTCCCAAACATCTCCCTCACCAGGCTGATGAATATTCCAGGATGTTTGGGGAAGTGAAGAAATCTCTTCAGGTGATGCTAATCTCATGTCCATGTCCATGTGATTGCTCTGGAATTGGTACCGAGGGATGAAGCAGATTTTGCGTTGTCTGAAAATGTCCTTGATGATCTCTTCCATGTCAATTTCATCTTGCATGCTCAAAAAGATGGAAATTCTTTTGGAATTCTGATACTGACTGTGAGCAATCACCTAAGTGAAAAATGATGGCAATTATAATTTTTAAGACTATAGTTTTTATAAACTAGTAACTCCTCTTACCAATTTCTCCCTTTTGTCGCAGCCTTTTGTAAGTGAAAGTGGTACAGTGAGTTAATGTTCTGTCTTGATACCTGGCTTTTATTTCCATACTCAAGATTTGCATATTCCATGAACCCTTTACCTCTCTGGTAGGCCTGCTGTCTGTATGGAAACTCATTAAGAAGACATGAAGTGGAAAAGCTGTCTATCTTCAGAGTTCCAGGTGTGATCCCAGTTTCCAGTACATGTCAGAGACTTATTAGAGGATTTTGGTTTATTTTCTCTTTGAAATTTGGATCTCACCAATTTTCCAGTCCTTGGATTGTTTGGCATTTCTCCCACCAATTTTAGCCCTTTAGGCCCAACCAAGACCTAACCTTCCTGACCTCTGCAGAAGCTTTACTACATTTAGAATGGCACACAACTCAGCACTTCAGTCTGTAGGAGGTAAGTCATGAGTCAATCACTGCTTATGTGTCCTAAACCAGTCCACAAGCTCCCACAGAGAACACGCCCTAAAACAGTCTCTACCAATGCTATTCCGTTCAACTGGGTGTTCAGAAAGTTCATTAAAATGGGAGCAAGGGGCTCCTCATATAAGAATCCTTATTTAGTAGAATCACTCATCAGGCAAAGAGAGCTAAGTTTTGCTCAAAACCCTAGGAACTTACCAGATTCAGAAGTTGGCCCTTAGCTCCCTTTTTTTTTCTCTATTCCTTTTCTGTTCTTTCCTGCCCTCCAAGCTAAGAGAAGGATAATGCAAA